TCAATCTACAATAAAAACCTTAAATTCAAAAAAAAAAATCATACAGGAAGAAATCTTTAAGAAAAACAAAAAAGAAAGAAAAGATCAAAATGGATGTCAGAAGAAACACTGAAACTTGCTTTCCATCATAGAGATGCTAAAGCAAATAGAAGAAATCAGGAGGTACAAGCACTGAACAGAAAATTTCAAAGGTCAGCTCGAGAAGACAAAGTCAAATACCATAAAGATCTGGAGTCAGAAAACCAAAAAAGAAGAACACATTCAGCATTTCTCAAGCTAGGGGAACTAAAAAAATTCAAGCTTCAACTTTCATTATTGAAGGATTCTCTGAGCAAATTATTGAATGATGCAGAAAGCATCAAAAGAAGATGGGAGGAATACACAGAGTCACAGAATCAAAAGGAAATGGTTGATGTTCAACTGTTTTAAGAGGTAGCATATGATCAAGAGTCAATGAAACTGAAGGAAGAAGTCCAAAGTGCATTGAAGGAATTGGAAAATAACAATGATCCAGGAATTGATGGAATAAAAATTGAAATCTAGGAGGTGGGGCTTGACGGCAGATAGGATAGTGGTGCAGTGAAGATCTCTGTCAGCAATACCACAGAATACCAGATGAAGCTGGTTCAGGGGAGAGCTCCAAAACTCTGAACAACATAGGTAGGAATATTTTAAAAGTGTAAGGTTTTAGAGCTAGTGGAACTTGTAGCAGAAGTAAGAAACCTTGTACTTTAGAATCTGCTGGGTTCAGCAGTCAAGAGCCAACAACTTGGGCAAGAACAAACAGCGGGACCTGGTGGGGGAGCAAGCAGAGCCATCGGGAATTAACAACTGCGGGAACCTCGGAGCAAAGGTGACAATATTCTGTTTGGTTTTGCTTTGTTCTGATTTTGTTGTTGTTGTTGTTGTTATCTGTTCATTGGCCTATAGCTGTCTGCACACCTCCATTCTGATGACTAGAGGGGGTGCCTGAGTGAGTAGACACTCAGCATTCAGAAAGACTTGCCTTTCTTGCTTGTTGAGTGCCTTGGAGTCGGTTCCAACTCATAGTGATCCTGCATGGGATTTCTGAGGCTGTGAATCTTTGCAGGAGCAAAAGGTCTAGTCTTTCTCCCATGGAACAGCTGGTGGTAATGAGCTGCTGGCCTTGGGTTGGCAGCCCAATTCATAAAACACTACGCTACAAGCAGGCAGTTCAAAACGGCCACAGCCAGCCCTTAACTGTGTATTAGCAGGGAAAAGTCCAGAACAGGGGTGTGGAAAGGGAGAAGCTTTAAAAAGAAAACAGGCCAAAAATTAAATCCTGAGGTACAGCATAATGAGTATTGGCAGCTTGAAATTCATCAGATAGCCTTGAGGGCAAGAAGTTGAAAGAGGACATTAAAGTCATACTCATATTATGCTACAGATTTCTTCTTCTTTTTCTTTTTTCTTTCTTCTCACTCCTCTCCTTTTTTCATGATTATAGACTACAGTATCCGGTCTGGTTTTTTGTTTTGTTTTGCTTTGTTTTTTGTTTTGGGGTGTTTTGTTTTTTGGGTTTTTTTCCTTGCTTTTTTGCTATTGTTTTCTGTTTTGTTTTTTGTTGTTGTTGTTGTTTGTTTGTTTGTTTGTTTTTTTAGTTCTGTTGTTCTGTTGTACTTTGTTTTTGTTGCCCCTTTTACTTCTATAGGGCTCTTTCTCTAAATATACTACCCAAGAAGAGACAGCAATTTCTGCTATATAGTTAACATACAATCACACACTATAAAGCCCCACAATCCAGGCAAGAACCAATACAATCTGCTTTACACCAGGGTGGTAGACAACACCTGTGAAAGTTACTCTGAGTTAAGCAATAAGAAGAGTGAAAAGGGAAGCCCACCTCATCTACCTAGAGGCAATCAGAAAGCATTAAAAAACACCAAAACATGCACTCAATTAAGTATTAAGGCCACAGATAAACACTAAACATGTCCAAAAAGCAAAAACAGATGACCATATCAGCATACATCCAGAAACAAGATAAAATGTCTGA